CAGGGGTTTGACCTCTGCCTGCACTTACTTGCTTTCTTCTGCAGCTTAGGGCCCCAGCAGGCATTTCCTGTTTCTTTCAACACTGCACTCGCCTTACCCCATGTGAACGGCACTCCAATTAAAAAATGTATGTCTTTCGGTTTACTGGCTGTATCACGTGCTCAAACCACACTTTGGCATCGACTACTACTATGCGCACACAATTCTAGCACTGAGTACCAATATCCATGCATCCGACTGAGCAAGTTTCAAGGGTCCTCAGGGCCGTTGCATATCACGTGACCGCATGCACACAAGTATTTGACCAGCTCACACCCACTACAAGCAACTCCCTTCCCCCATGAATAAGTTGAACAATTCCCCAAGGGATTCCTCGTTCACACTCCAGTTTGCCTCCCCACACTCCCAAACAAAAAGACCGAGGTTTGGCAGGTGGCGGTTCCCATTCCATGAAAACCATTGTAAGTCAATTACTCTCCCTCCCCAACCATGTACCGATGTGGCACATCTCACTTAGGCTACAAAGACCAATGAAAGGTCAAACAAAAACAAAAACAAAAAGCCAAATCCCTCCGCAAAGGTACGTTGTGTGCATCTACCTACATAACCACTACCTTACTAATAAATTTCAAGCAGACCACCAACAGTGACGCTGACACGCCTTAAGTCCTCAATTGCATCTCAATATCGACTAACAAATCCCATGATGACGTGCAAGCAATGAACCTTGCACAAGCAGAAGCATGGCTGAGGGCAGCAGCTGGCCAAAAAAGGTCAGTTACTCATCTTATTATTTTATCCGTTGTGGAATCAGACTTTAGTCGATTCCTGATTGTCAGACTTTATGTTGACAACATGGCTCAACCAGACTTTAGTCAGTTGGGCAGCGGTGGCCTCGGAAACACAAACTAACCTCATTTAAACAGTGTTGAGGGATCCATCCCTGCTTTGCCTGGCCACACAGACGACATTGTCACTGCGTGAGTTGTTTCTGCTGTAGATTACATTATAACAATCTCATAATAATTTTAGGGTAACTGCGAAGCACGATCAGAAAGGTGATACATCTTCCCCTGTCAGTTCTTTCCCTTCGTCTCCGGCGTTGTCCATGAAGAAGGGATCACATGACACCACCATGGCCTCACCTGAAGAAGAACTCAAGCACAAGTCCACAAGAGAGTACTGCCCTCTGCCAAAACAACCAGAAGTGGACCTCCCACTAAACGCCAACATCACGTCTCCTTTGCCGAGGTCTTAGCAGTGCCCCCCCTATTCCTGCAGGAATCCGGTCATTCCGGTGGAATTCCGGTGGAATCCGGTGGAATGGAATTTAGCAGAAGCCCTGCTAAATTGTTATTCTGGTGTTTTCCATTCCGGTGGATTCCGGATGTACACCGGATGTTCCCCGGAATGGGCAGAATGTGTTCCCCGGAGTGGC